ACACTGATTAAATCTGCCAATGAAATGAATGTGTTTGGCGAATGACCTAATTAGTGTATATTTGGTTCTTTTTCACTGCACTGCTTACCACTAATTGCTGTTCTACTGGTCTTCTTCTGACAAGTAAGAAAAACAAGGATGAGGGATTTGTTGAGGAAACAGTGACATTCAGTTTTAATTCATTTGAACCTGCTGCCAAGCTTAATTACGGAACTGAGGAACTGAGACCAGGAGGCCCCCAGCTGCTTAGGTTATAGGAGACATAGATGTTTAGTGTCTGCCTGTGTGTTCAGGTAGCGCTTACTGAAGCAACCCATAAACTTGTGCTTGCTGATGCTTAGCTGTTTTCGTTCCCCCATAGGTACGAGCTCATGGTTTGTATTCCTTAAACTTAATTATTTAGTGTTGATGGCATCAAGCCAAATAAAATTACAGTCATTTTATTTCTCAGAGGAAAAGATTGGCAATGATTATGAGTACTCTTGTCTTGTTGTTTGTGATTGCATTTACATGGTACTAGTACTTGTAATTCTATAAAACCAGGAGCCTAGTCCTTTGTTCCTGGTGTTGGAGGGCCAAAATCACCCTGGTGTAACTACACTGAAGTCAAAGGGTTGACAGGGATAAATATGGTTGTTAGCCTTTAAGGAAGCTTTTCAGTAGATTGTCTGGTTTTTGTTTTGTTTTGTGTTTAAGAAAAGGAATGAGATTTAAAAAACCCCCCAGCAAAATAGTTTGGTTTTGTTTGTTGCATTTATTGTTTCATATTTACAGGACAGTTGTAGCTAGGAGTCCTAAGTGATCATCAGAGCCCCATTTTACTAGGTGCTGAACAACAGGAAAATATAGAGAGCTGACAGTCCAGGTTTGACAAGGAACAAAAAGGCAGAGAAAGGAATGTGTGGATAGAGGAGGAAGGTATAGAGTTAGACAGTCACTTTGTTAGTGCATAACGCCAGAAAATGAAAATACTTAATTCCCTTAAAGGCTAAGAACTATCTTCATCCTTGTAAACCCAGTGACTTCAGTGTAGTTTTGGCCCTCAAACACTAGGAATAAAGGACTGGGTTCCTAGTTTTGTTAGATTGACACGTACTAGAACCATGTACGTGCAATCACAAACAACACTTGTCTTCTGGTGTTATGCAGAAAAGTGAACTAGACCTGCATAGACTTCTGCTCATCTGAAGATGTGGGTGGTGCCACGGGACTAGTTTTTAAAGTTACGGACTAACATGGCTGTGCCTCTGAGGCTTTTAGACCTGTATAGTCACTGAGGTTTGGTCTACATCTAAACTTTAGGTCAATCTGCTATGTCACTCTGGGGTGTGAAAAATCCCCCCCCCCAAAAAAAAGATGTAATTATGCCAGCCTAAACCCTATTGTATACACCACTAGGGTCAATAATCATTGACACGGCTACTGCTTCTTTATGGAGTGGATTTACTACAGTGATGGAAAAACTCCTTCTGTTACTGTAGCAAACATCTACACTTTGTCACTTCGAAGGCACAGCTGCAGCACCGTAGCTCTAGCACTTGTAATGTAGACTTACCCTACCTGTTATGAACACGTTAACATAAATGGTGAGAAGGACATTAATGTGTCTGCTGTGAAACTCTTGTAAGGATGCTTGAATACTGAGGCAGCCCAGAAATGTGGCTTGTCTTACTGTAGGCGATTCCTCTTTGGATTGCTTTTCAGCCTTGCTGTGATTTTCCCCTGATGTTTCTGTGTGCACTGTGGAGGGATGTCCACAAGAGTGAAAATTAAGATGAGTATATAGAATGAAAATGAACTGGAGGAAAGGAACAGTAACAACTTCACAATTATTCTGACATCATTAATGAAAGTAGATATGATGAACAACTAGTTCTGATCAAAGGCAGAGCATTTTTACCTCATTGAGTTTCATGGGAGGATATGGTTCTAGAATCACCCCTGTGTTTTATGGTCATTAGAATAAGTGTATAGAAGCTATTCAGACAATTAAACCTTGTGGACTAACTTAAACCTTTAATGATTGAGTATATTGCATATACCTGCTATCTATAGTGTGTTTTCTCAAAACATCCCAAAACATCCCAAAACTAAAGATGTTTGTGTAAATGTAGTGGGATACACACACTTTTCTATATAACATTGTGCAGAAAGTCTTATTAAAAACCACTTACCTTGTATATGTGACTCCTGCAGTATAAATCTACCTGTAAATCTCCAGTTCTGACCGTACCATTCCCAGTTTTAACAGCATCAGTGTCTGGTAGAAAAGAACAAGGTGCAATCTTCTAATTATAACAAGTACTTCCACTTCCTAGGAACAGGTTGGTTCATTCCAGGCCATCCCAGTACCCAAACTGTCAAAGCTTTCCTGGTAGTATCTGGCTTCCTGGTGGTCATCAAGGTCTCTTGGCAGCTCTAGATTCAAGTCAAGGTCACTTGTATTGTGAGGCTGTGAAGTTACATCTGCTCTTGTCTCCTCTCAGGAATCATTGTCCTTTTCCTCTCCTTGACTCTGCATTTGTGCACTTTTATCATCCCACGAACAAAGGCTTGGTGGAAATCCAAGGAAGTCTGTCCTTATGTAGCAGGCTTTCTTACTGAGTTAGTATTAAAAACTTCACAGCTACTCTGCAGGGCATTTTTGAGAGCATTGGAAAGCACACAGCTGTGTGTTACCAGTTCATTGCAGCATAACACGCTGAGTGAGAAGGAACAAGAGGAACTAGAGGGAGAAAATTAAATAGTTAATTAAAAGCAAAAAACCAAAGTGATAATTGAATTATCTTGCACTTTTTCATGGCAATGTTGTGGGGACATATTGTCACAATACTCAGTTGTTCCAAAGGCTTTCCCAGATGGGTTATTCTAAGTTAAAATATTATAAACTAAAAAACAAAGTACATAGATTAGGAGAAAACAAAACTGAGTCAGACCCAGAGGATGTTATTAAAGCAGTGCCTCAAAATCCTTCTTTAGTTTCTCAGTTGTGGGTTGGGGTTTTTGTTTTGATTTGTTTGTATCTATCTTGGCTGCTTTTGTTTCATTTTAAAGCTCTATACTTGGCAAATAAGAGAGCCTGGGAGAAACTTTAGGTGACAGGTTCTTTTTACATTGGACCAGCCATTGCCGAGGGTGAAGCATGCGCTTCAAAAGAATCTTCACAATTTGGGGGAAGTGGTGAGGTGTTGATACATACTTTGGGGGGAATGAGGTGGAGAAAAGGGTTACATACTAACAGGGGAAAGACTGACAAAAGAAATAAAATGAAACCTGATACAGCAGGAAAGCAACGTATTTGTGGCTTCCTACTTATTGATCAAATAAATGGAGATGATGGGCAGAGGAGCCATTATGCTATAAGCATACTAGTGCTAATATTATTAATGCTTATAGGCAATTTGGTTTCAGCCCTGCAGTCTGCAAGGCTGAGTTTGCAGACTCTCTCCAAGAGGTGTATACCTGGGTTGTAACTTCTTTGCATGATGTGGCCTGGAATTTTTTCAAAGGACTCTAAGGCTACGTCTACACAGCACACTTACTTTGAAAGAAGCTATTCCAGAATAGTTATTCTGAATTAGCTTATTTTGAAATAGCACGTGTACACTGCAGGAAAGCCTCAAAATTAGTTTAAGGCAGGCTTTCCTAATGTAGACGTGCTATCTTGATTGAGCCCCAGGAGGCTCTGGGGAGAAATAACTTAGAATGGCCCAAGTGAGGGGTTATTTCAAAATTGCAGCAGTGGAGCATCTACACACACCTTATTTTGAAATAACTATTTCAGAATATACATTATTACTCATAGAATGAGTTTTACAGATTTCGGAATAATCCGAACGATAATTCAAAATTATTTCAAAATAATGGATAGCTATGGAGGCACTTGCATTGTTATTTCAAAATAACACTAGTTATAGCAAAATAATGGTGCAGTGTAGACACACCCTAAGGGAGTTAGGAGCCATGTGGTAGATTTGTAAAAATATTAGGAGCTCTTGTAAATCCCTTTAGGCATGTCTAGTAACCTCAATATCTAAATGTAAAAGTGTGTAATTCAATAAGAGTTGGTTGCTTAATGCTCTTAGGCTTAGAGCCCTGCATGGATACAGAATTTTGTATTTGCATCTGTATCTGCAAAAATGAGCTGCAGATATCCACATCCATGAGTGCAGATACCTGTGGATATAAGGCAGATATCTACAAATTTGCAGGGTTCTAGATCCAAAAATTGTATTCGCTTCCACATCCAAATAGGCAAAAATGAGCCATGGATATCCACATCTGTGGATGTGGTTATGAAGTGGATATCTGCAGATTTGCAAGGCTATACTTACGCTCCTTGGAAAATCCCAGCCCTGTTCACCAAAATAGAAAAGATTACCATGAGCTGTGGGATGGAAGGGAATGAAACAAGAGTAATAATAGGGAGTGTATTGTATGAACAAGTTTAATTGGATAACCCAAACTATTGAAATAAGTACTGCATAGCAGTCATTTTAACAGTGAAAGATCATCTTCCCATGTCTAGCCTTGCTGACCTAGGGGCTCAGACAGTATTTCTACAAAGCAGTGTTATTTCAGAATAACATCCGAAATAATGAAAAGCATGTCTGCACTACAAGCCTTTATTTCAAAATAATGTCAGGCTGGAGGACTTCTTACTCCCACTCATGGTAACCCTTATGTCACGAGGAGTAAGAAGTAGACAACACCAAAACCTGAATTAACCTATTCTGACGTCTGCCATGCAATTGATGTAGCAGAAGTTGCATAGATTAATTCCACTGTAGCCCTGCTGTGTAGATGTGCTCAGAGAGAGCTACATGAAACTGTCCTTGATAGAGAACTATTTCTTTAAGTACTATTGATTTAAAAGAAGTGAAGATGAACACGGCAGCTGTTGGTTGTCAGGAGAGCAGTCGGTTAGAAAAATCTGAGAAGAGTTTGATAAAATGGGAAATTGTTCATAGATATTAATAAAGACTTCTCCGTTTTTTTAGGCTATGGTTTTGTAGATTTTGACAGTCCAGCAGCAGCACAGAAAGCAGTAGCATCTCTTAAAGCAAATGGTGTGCAGGCCCAGATGGCAAAGGTAAGCACAAGTCTTTTGTTTCTGCTTTCCTTCCCTGTGTTGTGATGGTATTTAGTCTATGGACTGTGAATTCCAAGAATTCACTTTTTTTTTCTTTTTCTAAAATCATCTTTGCTTGCAGGATTCTGGCTTGTTTATTACAGTGCTTATTTGTTTTTTTGACTCATTTACCTTATTTGTCTGTGGACTCATCAGTGTCTTTAAGAATTGTGTGTGTCAGGGGGTTATTTTATGATGTTCTCTGCAGCCTGTTGCATTCCCCTTAAGAACTTCATGAGAAAACAGAGTCTGAGTTCTGTAGTAATCAGAAAAGATACCTTAATCTGTGGTGCACTGTGTAATTGCCTATTAATGTGCCTTGGAATACTCTTCATTTAATGGCCTAGTGGGTCTGTGTGGAGGAGTGAAATGACTGAATTTAATGAAAGTTTGCTGCATCTGTTTTTCTTTAAAGAAGACTAGCAACCTAGTTCAATTCTATTGACATCATCATTTAATAATGATTGTGTCTGGAGGTCATTGGATTATGCTTTTCAGAGGTTTCTGAGACTCGCATTAGAAATCTCCTCGCTTGCTTTAAGACCCAATTAGATGGGAACACGCAATTGGATGAAATCACAAATGAAAGTTTGCTGCATCTGTTTTTCTTTAAAGAAGACTAGCAACCTAGTTCAATTCTATTGACATCATCATTTAATAATGATTGTGTCTGGAGGTCATTGGATTATGCTTTTCAGAGGTTTCTGAGACTCGCATTAGAAATCTCCTCGCTTGCTTTAAGACCCAATTAGATGGGAACACGCAATTGGATGAAATCACAA